TGTTTTCACTGCAATGCATCTTGTTCAGTTTTTTCCGGTCATAATATTTCTTTGTTATTCTTTCTTCGATTTTTTTTTTATCAATACTAAGACTTACTGCCTTCCTATCAAAGGTATAATTCAATAGTTTAGACATTCATAATGTGATAAACTGGGGCAAAGAATATTTATTACTTAAAATTAAATTTTTCAAAGTTTCTGTTAAGTTTAATTTCCAAAGGTTAGGGTTTTCTAAATGCTTGATCGTTTTACTTTATTTACTTGCCTTGTATGTACATACATGAACATTTTTCGTAATCAGATCATTCAGGAATAAAATATAGGATGAAGTTGGAATAAAAGAGTAAATAGACAACTTTCAAACCGTCCGAACTATTTGTTAGATTCAAAAATACATAACAGGTAAAGACATACATTGCGTCCTGTTTGCACAAATTTTGAAAACCTTTACAAAAGGTATATATTTTTAATTGATGTGTATTACAGCCAACAGATGACACCACTATATAACACGCGAAAACCCCACTTACATCCACTTAACAAAAGTTAACAGAGTAATCAGAGATTGCATATCTTCGCCGCTCCTTTACGGGATTACATTCGTTCGTATTGGAAATATTATAATTTCTCCTTCGAACACTCAAAATCCTTCTCAGATCCAGAATGATAAACGATCCGGATATTTTTTTTTTGTAGTGTGATGGAGAATCTCAACCTTAAAGTGTCTATGAAATTTGGTACAAACCCCCATCTCACTTTACTGGGTTATTAACCCAAAACCGCGAAAATGCCCTACCTCCCCATTATAAAAAAAATGCTTCAAAGTAATCCAGAATCCAAATCAAATTTGGGGAGGATTGTCCCATAATGTCCAATCTTGTGTAAAATGAACGTTTTCGACCTACGCGCACGGAAACAGACATACACACACGGACCGATTGCAATATCCTCGCCCCCTCCCCAATCCGTTTTTCGGGGTCGAGGGTAAAAATCTGAGAGAATGTATTCCTAGGTAATCGTAAAGGTTATTTGGTGTAATGTTTACTCAATTAAAGTATGATTTAGCACTTTTAATGTAGCGACAGTCAGAATCGGTTACACAACTGCTAAATATTATACTTCGCCTCATTTACTTTTATTTTCACTTGCAACGAACGTCTGGTCTTTGTGTGCGTCCTGGGGGGGGGGGGGTTAAATCCAGACCTCTTCCTTCCTTGTAATGAAGAAATACTTGGTTTAAATTTCGTGCAAAGCTGCACGAGAGCTATCTGCGTTAACCTTCCCTAATCTAGCAGTGATAGACTAGAGAGACAACTAGTCAATACCACCCACCGTTAACTCTTGGGCTCATCGTTTACCAACGAAATGTGGGATTGACCTTTACCTAATAATACCCCCCCACAACTGAAAAGGGGGAAACTTGTTCGGTGACGTGAACTCGAGACTCTGAAATTGCGAATCGAGCGCCATAAATTCCAGGCCTTATTCAAAAATACTAATAAAAAATAATTTTTAGGCCACGTTCAAGTTTTAAATTTGGTAAAATTTAAAAAGTAAAACATTTAAAAAGAATCAATCGATTAGTTTGCTCACCTTCTTAGATTAGCATTGCATATAGTCCTCAGAGACCCCAAACCAGTCAGTGTATAAGAGCCCTTCCCGGTCAACAATTAGAATTACCTTACTTCTTATTACATTTGATAACAAAAAGCCTTCCCGGTCAACAATTAGAATTACCTTACTTCTTATTACATTTGATAACAAGAAGCCTTCCCGGTCAACAATTAGAATTACCTTACTTCTCGTTACATTTGATAACAAGAACCCTTCCCGGTCAACAATTAGAATTACCTTACTTATTACATTTGATAACAAGAAACCTTCCCGGTCAACAATTAGAATTACCTTACTTATTACATTTAATGGTGTCGAGTTAACTTCGTTAAAACATTTCGTTTACGACTTCCTTTTTAAATAAACTGTTATGTTGTCATCTAAAATTAATTATGGAGTTCGATACCTTACTATTATTTTATCGGAAACCCATGCACCGATTTATAGGGTTGTGAATTTTATGTACAAAAATTGGTAATCGGAAATAGATTTATCGACAGAATTTGAAAACTTTAAAGTACTACATACGTTTTATTAAGCTGATGAAAATTCTGATCGATACACACTAAAACGATACGAAAAGAACGAGACATGGATGCACTATCTCATCCAATTAGTTCCTCCGGGCAACAGTATAATAGATTGACATTTTATGGTCTGTTGTATTTAGTAGCCTTTATGCACTCTGATTGGTGGATATAAGCCACCTAGTTTGTCACATGACTAACGGGAGTTAACATGAAAGATATTCTGCGAATTTTGTTGTTGTTGTTGTTCGGAGAAATGGCAAAACAATAAGAGAGAGGGCATACCTTGTTTTAGTGAAAAAAAATAAGTGACATAAGTAACAACAGTAAACAAACGCAACGCATTTAAATGCTAACGTAAAACGTTGTTCTTAATTATGTACTAGCTAAACTATGGTAAGAGACCTTTACATTCCAACCGTTTAGATAGTTTTACAAGCTACAGCCGATTGGTGTTTGGAAGTTTGTTATACATTCATATTCCGAGACAACCAATTTTACATTGTACAGCTCCGTTATCCAGTCTGGATGTGTTGGTTTCGTTTTAGCGAATCAAACGAACGAATCTGTTGAATAGATTAGTACTGAATCAAACTGTATTAGTATTAATCCCCACCCCACCGCCCCCCACCCGTTAAGGCTCAGATGTATCCAAGGGTCATTTCAAAAGGTTAAACAACTTGGGAAAGGCAAACATTTTTTTCTCGGAAACTGCGAAGTCCCTAAAAGCACAGGACTCCCAAACAATTTTGTTTTGCATAGAACTAATTAAACAGTCCAAATACACAAGTCCATTATAGCTGAATCAGGGGACTTTACAAATAGGATTGCCACGATTCATTTTTTCGGTAATCGGTAGGAGCCAGAGTTTTTTTTTCTCAACTTCAAAACTTTAATATGTTGTCAAAGATAAGAGTTTGTTTATTGTTTATTTGGAATTAAGCACAAAGCTACACAACGGGTTATCTGTGCTCTGCCCACCACGGGTATCGAAACCCGGTTTCTAGCGTTGTAAGTCCGCAGACATACCGCTGTGCCACTGGGGGGGCCAAAGATAAGAGAGAAGTCCACCTTCCTCACAAATGGGGTTCCGTTTCATAACCTTATGGATCACTTCGAGGATAAGGCCGTTGCCCCCAGATTGACTTGAGGTTGGTTTCTACAATCCATTGCTAAACAAGTTTTCTATACTTCCGTGGAAAACACCAAGTAGTAATACTTTAACTAAAAGGAATAGTTCAAGTTTATACTATTTTTTTTATTGTACTAAAATATTTGTTAATACAAGAAATAAAAGTTTAGTATATTTTCTTTCTAGTTTTAATGATTAACTCATGAAAATTTATGCAAACTATTTCTTACATCGTAACAGCCTCTTCTCCGCAAGTTTCGTTTGCTTCTTGTTAAGCGCAAAGCTACATAATGGTCTGTCTGTGCTGTGCCCACCAATGGTATCAAAAACCATATTTTTAGCGTTGTAAACCATCAAACTTACAGCCGACCCCTAGAGGGGGCTACAGGATAGTTTCTTTACTACATTCATAGTCAGTACAGTGTCTGTTAATACCACGGAATGCCAAGCCTAATATTCAATGTTATACAACTATTAGGTCGTCAAGAAATTAAGTGTCGCGTTTTGGAACACTTATTAACTCCCCCCCCCCCAAAAAAAAACGTACATCACGTATAATAGTGTAAACGAGTCTTCAATATCCATAAAAAAAAATCTGTGGTAACACCTGGAAAAAGGTTTTGCAGTGCATTGTTCACCGTTGTTAGAGAAATTTGTGGGGTTAAGCACTCACCTCACTTGTTTTTGACTTCCCATGATGGTTAACTTCTTTAACTTCGGCGTTTTGGATTTTGCTTGATAGATGGGATATACCCCCCACCCCACAATCGCATTTTGGGTGCTATTACCACAAGCTTTATCCATTTATGACTATGGATGACTGATGGGGAACAAAACTAGATGTATTAAGTGATTATAAATTCTTTATTGTTTAATAGTGCTGACCTAAATCGCCTTTTAACAATAATTGTAACTGATAATTGAGCTATTTATTTATTTGTAAAATATTGTATTAAAATATTGCTTTCACAATCCAACTGAATGTTAATACATAAAGTATACAGAAAAAAAAAATCTTGTACCTTTGTTTTGTTTTTTTAAACAAACAGCAAGCTGAAGTGGTTCAGCTTGTTGCTACATAATTCATCCTGTAATAAGATACGAAGTAAGTTTGTCAACACCTGAACAAGTTCGTAAGCCATCTTACCAATTAGCTTATCTTCAATGTAACTTCAGAATGTGGAAAAAAAAAATTAAATTCAAGGTTGGCCAAGAAGGATTACTTTACAAAGAAACAAAGATTGTGCGATCAACATTTTTAGAACAGATGAAATACGATTAAACAGAAATTAAGGCACTGCTTTAGAAGTAAGTTACACAGTGGGCTGTCTGTGCCTTGTCCATTGCAAGGATTTGAAACTCGGGTTTTACAATTGTATGTACCTCTGTAAACTTAACTAACCAATCCAGGAATAAGAAGAAAAGAGAGAAGCTGGAAAAAGAATTAAATCACAAAATAGAAAGCATTAGAGACTCTTGAAATAGAATAAAATATTCACAGAAAAACAAGTTACTGATACAATATTTGCACATAAAAGGATTCTTCACACAGTGGAAAAAAACCCAAAAAAAAACTCACTTTCATTTTATACTCCTTTTTAAATTTATTTCTAACATATAATACATGTTCAACTAGTTTACATAAACAATCAAAATAAAACTTTATAAACATTAAATTAATACAAATGAGCAAGGAGCAGTTCAAATGACAATGCAGATATGTTGCCTTTTTTTTTTTAAACTATACAATTTCCAACATTTATAAGAAGGAAAAATTTTAGGAAAAAAAAAAGTTATGTGAATACATTACAAAATTTATAATAATAACTATGGTAGATGATAGCCAGGGTTTACTTATCTTACCAAAAAATACACAGAAGATGACTGTGAGAGACCACTGGTAATTTAAACACTTTGTTCACACTATACAGAAAATGTGCAATAAATATACTGAAATACTCATAATTTTCCAAGCTTACTACCAAAGTTCTTTCCTAGGTACATTAAGGAATTCTACACACAGTTTCTAACATTATTTGATACATGCGGTAAAATTATGCTACTCCCTTATTACTGTAACACAAGTATATAAATTAATTACTTTTTTTATATTCTCACTTTATCATATCAATCTTCCTTTCTTTTCGTTAAGTAACTAATTCCAAAGTAGGAAACACCAAACGATAAACATAAAGATCGCAATATAATGGAATAAATATAAAAATTAGTTTCTGTAAAAAGAAAGACAGTTATAAAACAAGTAACTGAATTTCGAAACAAATTTGTTAAGTTATTAAAAAGATCACAACAGTGATAAATAAAAAATAAAATATATAGTTAAATAAACAAGTTTCTTTTTTTCTTTTTTTTTTAAACATACACTCTTCCAATAAAGTTGATCAGCCATTCTGTTCATTAAGTTTAAAAGCTTTGCTTCTGTATGTTACCGATGTTTATTGCATGGAAGGCATTGTCCGAGGTGACCAGCGTGTTCACCAACTAAAGGTTGCTTACACTTAAACGTTCAGTTATATTATTCATCTTAAACAAACCAGACTTTTTTTTTTTTACACAACCACCCACACAAAAACCACTCGTTACCTAACATTAGCCCACCTCACTGGTACGTTTTTTGTCTAAAGGTGGCAGTAATTTCCTCTATGGTTTTGTTCTTTGTTTCTGGAACTTTCTTGTACGTGAAGAGAAAGAAGATGATTAGGAGTAGCGTGAATATCAAGAACGTATACTCTTGAAGGATGTTCTGTAAAATGAAATCCGATGTCACTTTTACCTTAAAGTTCGTTATGAATACAGGATTACTTCTAGAAATGTCTACATAGTAACCTTACAAACTAGCCTTGTACTACTTCCTACATAATTAAGATGGGAACTAGCAGTCAAGCTACAGACGTTTTAGGATATTTTTAAGTATTCCATAGATGGACACTCAGTACATTAATACAGACCACAACATCTTAGAAAATTAAATTTATATTTTGCTTAAGCTTTTGTAGCTATGTTGGAGATTACGAATTTATTGCTACATTTTTAAATATCTTTTACAAAGTTTAAACTACTAATTTATAGTCTGTAATCAAGCAATAAACTTTTTACTTATGATCAACCTTGTCGTACAAAACTTTGTATAGCGACTTACAGCTAATGGTAGAAAGCCAAGTCCAACAACAAAGTTGGCACTCCAGTTCACAGCTACAGCAATGCTTGTAGCTATTGCTCTGGCACCTTGTCCAAAAAGTTCCCCCACCAGAAACCAAGGAATTGAGCCTGCAGAAAAGAAAGATTTATTTGACCAGCAACTAACAAAAGGTCTTAATTCAAGATTAAAGATTTACTAAACCTTTTGATTCATATTTATCGTGCATTATAATATTCAAAGTAAGAAAATTCCACAGAAGATTCAGGTTCGAATGAAAGTTATATTTAAAAAACTTAACTGTTTTATTGTACAACCCAAGTTTCATTTAATCAATCAGCAAATGGAATTATTATAAGTAATTCCTTGTTAAGTGAAATGTAAATAAAAGATGATTGCTCACTGATAATTAATGCGAATGTACTATGATGAAGAAAGGGATGTCAACACACACACACAATTCCCCCCCCCCCCCCGCCTTATTTTCCTTTTTAACATAAAAAAAATGCAAACATACGACAAATTTACTGCATACTGGAGAACAAAAATTCTGAACTCAGCACAATTAAATTTTCTACATATTATACAAGACAATTTCTGTGCCAGTTGTTAGAAACTTGTATCTAAGTGAATTTACAGAAAGAAAATGGATTGCTTAGTAGCGATTCGGTTGTGTTGTTACAAGTAAAAATACGAGTGTCAGAAATACACAGAAACAGAATCTATTTTAAGAGCTTCTCTGGAAATAAACGGAAGCTTTAATTGCTTTATATAAATAAGTAGTTACATACGAGGAAAAGAAAGATGAGGTATGTACATTAATGGAAGTGGAAAGTGTTACTTAACCATTAATGTTCTTCATCCAGCACTACTATAATATTTACAAGGTCTAACTTGAGGTATGTACATTAATGGAAGTGGAAAGTGTTACTT